TCAGAAAAAAAAAAAAAAAACAAAACAAAAAACAAAAAACAAACAAACAAACAAAAAAAAAAACGCTATTCTATCACAAACCTGCCTCATCCAAAGAATGGCATTCTCCAGCCACCTACCTCTTCCCTCCAATCTGGTTGTGGTTTCTGCTTCATCTCCATCCGAATCAGTCCAGAACCACCGTCCCCAGGGCTTGCAGGTTAACACAATCACCAAACCCTTCATGATTCCCCTTATAGGTTTGATGTCAAGGCGCCGGGGTCTCTACCTTAGCCAGGGTGTCTCTGCTTCTCTCTGTACCTATTCCTTCCTATAGGACTGACACCCACTTTTCCTTCTGCTTAGCATGATCAATCGTTCAGTTTTTGTGAACTCACAACAAATATACAAATGTATGGCTTATGATGAGATGTTCTAATACATGTACACCAGGCACAGACTTAGATCCAGTACCTTGAAAATTCACTCTCAAACTCGTCCTTCCTTTAATGCACACCCACACAGGCAAGGACATTTAGAATCTTCTAGACTAGCTATCTGGAAACACCCAATCAAACGATGTTAATCGTCGTCATTAGCCTACCATACCACAGAACATGAGAAGTCACCATTCCTATTCCACTGCACACTTTAACCACCTTAAATGTCCAGGGACATAACTCCCAACAACTTCTCAGTCACAAGCATGGTTCTCCGGTCACGCCTGCAGGGGCCCTGTAATCTTTCCAGGCACACACCACAGATTTTTGTCAGCCTTGACATCTTTCTATCACAGAGCCTCCTGGCATTTAGTCAATCCCCATAAACATGGGAACATAAGAACAATAACAACAACAAACAAACAAACAAAAAAAAAACAGAAGCTTTCACGTGTGTTTAACTACAAAGAGAATCTTCTTGAGGTCATTTTTTATTAACAATGAGTAGGTCCTCCTAGATTCTACAGAAACAAAAGCTCCCCGTTCCTTGGGCCCTGCCTCCCTTGGAAATGTGTTCAGTACAGAGGGCAGAGACCCTGTGTGAAGTCCTATTGGCTATGCTACATCTTGTAATATTTCCACTTGCCATCAACATTTAAGCAATTTAAACAACAACAACAAAAGTATATCAGCACTGTCTGGCAGGCTATTTTCGCTGGGATTCAGCCTGCTCTCCCAGCCCACTCCTCCATGCTCATTACACAACAAAACACCCAAGACAGAGAAACAGGAAGAATCCACCCCAAGGTAAAACTGCACACAGACTTCAAAAGGAAACCCCCGAGATAAAACTGTAAAAACTTTTGAAGCCTTTTTACTTGGTTGTAAGACATATGCTATACCAAAATACCACCATTTGGGGTCTAGAATCTTTTTTTTCCTTTTTCCTCCCCCCCCCCTTTTCTGGGTACAAAGGCAGTTAAATGAAGGTCTTTGTTTAGCAAAGACACCAGCAGTGGTGCCCGGGAAGCAAGTCCTAAGGCCACAGCTCAGCAGCAGCTGAAGGCACAGGCCTTGCGTGAGACACCACCACCCAGCAGAGCCCTGCAGACCTCCTTCAGCTTGCGAGAGGAAAAAAAGAAGAATTAGAATATAAAGTTCAGAAACGCCAGAGGAAGAAAAACTCAATAAGAAAATGGAATCGGAGAGAATGGGTTCCTCGGCAATTTTGAGGCTTTGCAAAGTCAGGGTTGGGCAGGAATGATCAGGGTTTGGCCAGCCAAGTCGAGGCATCTTCTGTCCTGCTCCCATAAACTGGGAGTCACCAGGCTATAACTAGCAAGATGCTTTACATTGGTTAAAGGAACTACAGACATGCACAGGGTCTTTTGTGGGAGAGGAGTGCCTTATAGGACTAGGTTTGTGGCCCAGTAGTACAATGTTTGCTTAGCCTGACCAAAGCCTTGGCTATTAACCCCAGCACCAGGAAATGAATGAATGAATAAGTGAATGAATGAATGAACACACATTGTTAGTTTAGGTGTGTATCCTAACATAAACATTTATTCCACACATCGACTTTTTAAAGATTTTTTTATTGTTGTTGATGTTGGTGTGTGTGTGTGTGTGTGTGTGTGTGAGAGAGAGAGAGAGAGAGAGAGAGAGAGAGAGAGAGAGAAAGAAATGTGTGTGTGTGCAGGTGTCCATGGAGGCCAGAAGCATGTATCGGATCTCTTAGAGCTGGCATTTAGGCAGTTAGGAGCTGCCTAGTGTGGACCCTGGAATGCCAGGCTCTGGTACCCCGGAAAACCAGCAATCGAAACTCTTAACTTCCAAGCAATCTCTGCAGCTCCAAATAGCATGGAGACCTTCTACCATGTGGGGGAAAAAAAACTCAACTAGATTAATATTTCCTGGAAAAGTACTTTAAATCCCAGGTGCAGACTGTCTTGCAGGTGGAGGTCCTGGGGAAAGTCATTTTCTGAGCAATCTGTGAGCGTCCTAACTTCCAGTGACTGACAATGAACCCCAACACTTCTCTGTTTTTACAGTGAAACATCGGAAGTAATTTGGAAACAGCTTGGTCCACAAATTACAATGCTCCAAATTTCAGAGAAATTAGGAAACAATCCGTAGAAAGCTCTTTTGAAATACGTCTGGTGATGTGCTAGGATATGTCAACATTTTGTTTAGCAGGGTGAAAACCCAAGCATAAGGAGGAAAGCCAGCCATCCATGACCAAATCTGGACACAACCCCCCCCCCCCGGCCACTGCCAAACTGTACAGAAACCCAAACAATGCATGAGCCATACATGTCAGAAAAGCTCTCTGGGCCGGCTCAGACCCTGTGCTCACTCCAGAGGTGGTTTAGGTTGACACATAGCTCTATGCCCAATGAAGAAATAATTAAGCATTTTCCAAATGTGGTCTCCTTTTGCCTAAACTTACAGCTTTTCCCTTCTCCTCACTGCCAGGGCCCACCTTTCTCCACAAACTTACAACCTCTACCAGACAGCTCGTCCCCAGGTCCCCAAGGGCACAGCAGTCAGTAAACATAATTGTGTGACCACTGACGCCAGCTATGGCTCCTGTGGACAAAGGTGCCCACCTTAAAGTGTCTTCCAGAAAACAGTAGGGAAAATAGGAGCCTCAGTTCCCCCCCCCCTCTGAACCCCTTGCCAAGATCCACGCTGGTTCTGCAAACACTTTCCCACCACTTATAGACAGTCCATCTGTGCAAGCTGTTCTCGTGGCATTTATGCAGGACAAGAGGGGGCAATTGTGACAACTCACACTTGTATAAGGGTCATGCTTAGCGCTGCTGTGGCCCATGACCCTTCAAAACCACAGCTGTGCACATGCTGACCCTTGTTAAGTTTGCAGAGGCAACTACGTTCTCTACAGACAAAATATGGGGAAACTCCAGGTAGAGCTTCCAAGGGGAGAGAAATAAATTTCAAAGTCTGGGCAGATGTTGGGGAATGCATTGGCATAGGAAAACAGGAACCTCACTCCCCTCTCTCTAAGACCCAATAACCGTGTGTTAAGGTTTTTTTTTTTTAAAGTGGCATTTGACTTTCCAGAAAAACACAACTCAGCACCCATACCAGCAATTTCTTCACACCTCACCCGTCACTGTCCCGATGGCTAGCCAGCTCGCAGTAAACAAAAGTGTCAGCCATGATCATTGTTCTCTCTCTCATGGCTCACAGAAAAGGATCTACTAGAAGGTCCCGAAAGGGGCGCAAAGAGCCGGATCAGCCTTTGCTGCAGATGCTGCCTCGGTGTGTGACATTGGGCAACTCACTTAAGGCATCTCTGGATCTCACTCAGTTCCTTTCCCGAAACCAGACTGGGCCTAACCTCCGTCCCTCACCTGGACATCCCAGGAAGGTACGAAATTACAAGCATCCTTTTAATTGTGGGGTTGGAAGAGGGGAGAAACTTCTAGCAGATGTCAGCCTTCTTCCTACATGCCTTATTTATACCATGAGAAGTTAAGACATTTTCACCAATCAAGGTTCCAAATGTGGTTTTACAGAAATAAATTATGTTCTGATATACACACATACAACTGAGGCCTAGCTCAATAAATAATACATAATCAATTATACCAAACTACCAAATCAGGAGGTGGCCTGAAATTTGACAAAATGCATCTTAAGATTTTTCTACTTTAAATTATTTTGCGATTTTTAAAGATTCTGAGTAATGTAGAGGCCAAACAGACTAATGGTTAACATTTTGTGATAGTGTAAATAAAAAATGTATGAATTATCTCCTGCTTTGCATAATTTTACCTGTCATGAATTCATTATAAAAATATGCCTCTCGTTAATTATTTCAAAAGTCTGAAGTCCAGCTCATGATATAAATATATAGAAGGAAATAGATATTCTAATGAGGCTGAGCTACTTTCTCGGGAGGCTAATTTATAGACTTTCAGAGCCCAAGATACGCTAGATGAATGCATTAAAAATATATGTTGACACATGCTTGACGATGTAGCCTCAGTAAAAAACAAATGTTTTCTGTGTGCAACCCATGTGCTTTCAAAGTTGTGGGTACACGGACTGAGTTTAATTTGAGCCTTCCTACATTCACTTCTACTCTACAGTCAGCCAGCTCAGACCAAGTTTGCCAGTCTTCATGTAAACTGTTCTAGTACATCAAGATAAACAGGGTGGACGGGAAATCTCAGAGCAAGTATCCCCTTTTTTCTCATCCTCCTAAAATGCGTTTCCCCCCTAAACAAGTGCTTCAGTACCATCTCTAGTTTCCTTCAGAAGCAGGAAGGATGTGTCCTATTAACAGACGCCTACAAGTCTAGCTTTTAACCCAAAACGCAGAGCAAAGTGGGGAAGGAAGACCCGGGAAACTTCCTCGTGACATTTGCTGTGGTACCGTCACGGGGAGGGAATAGCTTGTCACACAGACCATACCCAAAGCTAGTCTCCCAAGAAATGTTTTAAAGAACTGACAAATATACGTTTTCAACATCAAATGAAAAAAAAAAGGAGAGCAGGAGAGCACCTACTCTCTGCCCCGTCAAGGGGTGAGCGCCACTGAGAGACACTTACAACGATGTGTGCCGGCGACGGTGAGCGGGCATCCTTGAGGGCTTGTCTGCTCTGGAGGCTTCCTGCTTGGACATCGAGCAGTGGCCATTTCATCTGAAGATACTGGAAAAAAGGAAACAATTAATTCAGGGAAGGAGAGGATGCAAGCTATTCACCTCAGAAATGAGCATTGTGTGCTATTTACATCAGAAAGTAAAAAAAGGAAGAGAGGGAGGAAGAAAGGGAAGGAAGGAGGGAGGGAGGGGAGATCTAAAAACATGCAACAAAGGAGAAGGTAAGGGTCCCTGAGAGCCCAAAGTTCAAGGAAATTAACATTACCAGCAGCCACAGTTTTGTCTTTGCAGCATAAGTTAAGGGGGTGGCACTGGTAAAGGAGATTCAATGGCACTACCTCTATCAGAACGCAGTGATGGGGAGAATTGGGGATACAGGGGAGAAAAAGACGGGAAAACGGCAGAAAGCCAACACAGGACCTCAGCTAGAGAGGTCCTAGAAGGCCACCTAGACCAAGCATGCTCCTTCCAGCAGCCTTCCCCTTGAAAACACCAGCACCCTTCACTTCCTAATACAACACGGGGTGCTCAGCTACAACAAACACAGCATTCCTCAACCGGCCCGAAAGCTGGCAAAACTGAAATATTTCATGGCAGCAGACACACACCCAGGGCACAGCACAACCGATACAGTCTTCGCAAGAACAGTGAGAATCCTTAAATGTGGGCAGAATTAGCATGAGAGGAAAATAAAAGAATGAGTTGATACATCCCTCCCTGCCTGCCTTTGTCTGGAGCAGGAGATGCTGCGAAACTTGCTACTTCTGTTTAAAAGGACAGAGCAGCGGTGAGGCATCGATCGACCTAACTCCTCCTTTAGCCTTGCAGACAGGAAAACTGAGGCACAGCAGTGTGCTGGGGACAGAGATGCTCCGAATACCCTAAGGACATGGGACCTTTCTTGGGCAATGACAGTGTCACCGAGGAAGTTGGGCAGGACACTTGTGAGGACATCAGTGACAGCCTTTAAAATTCTAAATGTCATGTGACTAAGCATCGGTAATGCTTAGAGGGCATATAAAGAACAGCCTTCATCATTCCAGAGACTCAAAGCAAAATGATTTTAGTCTTAATATTCATTTTACAGAAACGAATGCTCTTGGTAGGGGGCGTGTCATGTGTTACAGGTGGAGATCAGAGGGGTCCATTCTCTTCCACCAGGAGAGTTCTAGAGATCAAAGTCCTCAGGCTTGGAGGCAAGTACTTTAACCTACTGAGCCCCACAATTTTGTAGTCAGTGAATATTGCCGTGTGTCTGTTCATCTTGCTGACAGTAAGGAGGCACACAGGATGTCTGCCCTTGGGAAGCTCATACTTGTGAGGCAACCAGCACACACACACACATACACACATACACACACGCACACACACACACACACACACACCAGGTCAAAGCAGAAGCTGGGCAGCCATGCCCAGGTAATGCCAAGGAAGATGGCAGCATTTCTGAAAAAAAAAAAAAAAATACCACACCATGTAGATGTAGCTAAGTCTTTAAGATTTCTGTAGAAATAAAAGATAGCAAAGGACCATTCAGGAAAAGGCTCTGCTCAAACTCCACATGGGAACAGAGGGGTCAAAAGCATCTGCAAACAAGTGTGTGTCGCTCAAAGACATGCCTGGGTAGCAAATGCCTATACCTAATGAGAATGCCCAGAACCCATCGGCTGCCTGCACAGGTTCGTCTGCTTCTCCAGATCCGCACACGGTGGGTTCATCTTCTGCAGCCTGAGACTTTCACGGAGAAGCCCCTGTGGTAAGGATTTATCCTGACACAATCTTCCACCAAATCTGTTTCTACCTGTCTCCAGCTGCCATTTATTAATTAGAAGGGAAGCCATGTCTGTGACACAGAATAGGTCTGCCCAAATATTGAAGAACACTAGAATTCCATCGAATTCTAGCAAGACCCTTCCATTCATCCTTACAACCAAACCACTTCCAAACTGGGGCCAAGACAGCCCTAAGTTTAAAACCACCGAAAACAGAATTTCCAAGGTACCCTCAGCCCTGTCCCCGAGCCAGAAGTCTCTGGGAATCTATTTTGCCCTGTCTCGCCCTGACTTCTTCCCATTCACACTTGCCACATAACTACAGGGGCTGCATCGGTCAAAACCACTCAATAGAGTCATTTCCTTGAGGCCAACCAAGAATGAACACTGGCCAACACTGCCTCTCCATCTTCTCCCGAGAAGCCACAGACAAAACTGCAAAAGCCAACAGACACACCCACACCTCCTGCTATGCTCCTTTGGTGAGTGGACAGGTTTCTCCATCTTTGACCATCTGTAAAGCAGATCTGACTGCATCCTGGTGCCAGCTCTATTGAATTAGAACAGTTTAGGCTCGGTTTAAGGTGACAGACTTGCCCTGAGGAACCCACCCAGGAACTGTCGCACTCAGAATGCAGTATCAGCTCAGAGACTTGTAATTCTCAGTGTACATAAAAGCTTCATTGTGTTCCATCTCCATAGGTACCTGCACCACATATTTTTATGAGCCTACTTTCAGCGCTCTGAGCCTACAACACACATAATTTTCAATTATGTCAGGGCAGCCCAGGACCGCTGCCTATATAACATTACTGGTCAGAGGAAATGAGAGTCACCCCTGCTACCCAGAAAGAGCTAACCAAATCCAGATGGTGGAGGACAGCCCCTGGCCCTGCCGACTGGCAGAGACTCCTCAATGACAGCCTCAAATGCCCATTTTGGGTGCAACCTGATTCCACTGTACAGCTAGGCACCCACAAATCCACGCTCACTACCGGAGCCTTAACCAGCATGGTGGACGACAGGGTCCCTCTGGGAAAGCAAGCATTGTGTTGGATTTTTTTTTTTAAAGAAGTTATTAACTACTTCCAAAAGTGATGCTCCCCAGTTCCCTCATCTTCCACCCTTGACCCTAATTAACAGGGAAAAATAAATAAATAAAGGGAAGAAGAAGGAAATTAGGTACAATTACAGCCTAAAGGAAAATCTCTTCCTTCCTGGAGACATTAAGCCGTGAGAAATTCTATTCTGTTGAATCCTAAAGGAAGAGGTGCAGCGGAGTTCCAGACTCACAGAAGGGTTGCCCAACCATCCCACTGCAGCGTTATATATATCCTTTGGGGGGAAAGAAATATCCCCACCATCCTATAAGAAAAACAACGCTGGGTTCCTGCTTGCTTCCTCTCGAGCTGCTCCACATGGAAATTATGAATTGCCTATGAAAACATTAAACTTTTCACTAAAGGGCAGTCAAACGGGACCAAAGGAATTCCTACATTGAGAACTGTTGAAGTGGGTTCTGCTCAGCTTTTGTTTAATCAAAACAACAACAATAACAACAACAACAACAACAATAATAATAATAGTAATAAGGCCATCTTGGCTTAAGCATTTCATCTTTTGTTTAATAATAATGTTCTGACCTTGCCCCATTAGGCCCTCCTCCAAATCGTATTTTACGCCATGGCTCTAGGAGGTGAGGCTAAGCACTGGAGCCGTGGGCCAAGGCTCACAATATATAGATAATGCCAAGGGTTTGAAAGGGATCAGAACTTAAAAGCCTGCTGAATTGTCAACAAAAAGGAAGAGCCCGGGGCATGACTCAGTCAGTAATGTGCTCACCACCCAAGTGTGCAGAACTGAGGTCCAGTCCCATGAACTTCAAAACCAGGGCGCACCTGCAAAATGAGTCCAGGAGAGGAGCCCCACCCTGGCCACGCTGTCTAACCAAATCCTGGAACCCCAAGTGTGGTCTGACAGCCTGCCTCAGAATAGCAACAATGTGCAGAGTGATTGAGGTAGACACCTAAAGTCAACCGGCTACTCTCCAAATGTATACACATGCACAAGCATCCATCCATCCACACACACACACACACACACACACACACACACGCATGCACGCACACGCCTCTCTCATTTCCTTCCTCCACTTTCCCCAATAAAAGGAAAAAGGCAAAAGCAGATAGGGAAGAGCTGCCAGTGCCTCAGCCAACCAGCAGGCCAGATCACAGCATCCTCCAGGACCACACCATCGGAACCTGTTACTTTATAGCTGCTACCGGGGCCTGGGTACATGTTCCTAAACAAACAGAAGGACTCAAAGCACAATGACAATGGTAACAAAGTTTCTGGGAAAATTCACATCCTTAATTAAACATCAGCAAGACTTCCTGGCACCTCCTTTCATTTACCGGCCCCACAGATGGACAGGCAAGTAGGGATTGCCCCCACCCTCTTATTTATTCAGGACAGGGCTTGTCACATAGTAAATATCTCCCTCTCTGTGGCCATGCTTGCCATTGTAACTTGAAAGCAGTCCCAGGTAAAACATGGATATATTGTGTTGTTATGTTATATCATGTTATGTCATGTCATGTCTTGCCATGTTATGGCTGCATGCATTCTAATAAACTGTATTTAAAGGACACTGATTCCCAGATACTTTCTGTATCTGGGAATACTATTCTTCTTGTTTCTTTTTTCTTTTTAGACTTATTTCAGTTTTAATTGTATTCCTATGTGTGAGTCTGTGGGGGATATGTCCATATGATTACAGGCATGGGGGGGTCAGAAGACCTCAGATCACTGGAATCTGAGCCACCTGACATGGATGCCAGTTCCCTAGACGATCTCCCTTGATCTCCTGAAGCATTTAAAGATAATAAAACTCAAAAATGAGAAATTAATTCACTAATTAAAACAGCGTAGCCTTCATTTTCAAGCCATTTGAACACAAATACAAGCCAATAGTGAGCTATGGGTGTAGTCAGTCATCTCTGACTTGGACAGAAAATCTAGAAAGACCACTTCAGTTGTCTCCGAATGGATAGCACTCCTGAATGAGTCTGGACACTCAAACAGAGTCATGTAAGAATGTGTGTTTAGTGGCTCAAAGGCAACATTTTAGATGGAAATATTTTAGATTTGAGGATCATAAAAGAACCTGAGCTGGACATGGTGGCTCACGCCTTTAATCCCAGGTGGACCTCTGGAGTCCAAGACCAGCCTGGTCCACAGAGCACAGAGAAGCTCTCAGAGCTTTGAGAGGAACTGT